TCGTGTTTGGGCCGCTGCTGCAATTTGCCCTGCGTCGAACACGAACGTGTTCGAGGTTCGCCCGAACATGCCTTCACAGGCGAACACCGAACATCTGTTTTTGCTAAAATCGGCTCGGTGAACGGCCGTGTTCGTGCAGGGGCAAACACGAACGTGTTTGTGTTCGCCCCTTGCTCATCCCTGGTTGGACACATGCCAAGCCGCCGTGGGCCAAAATGGGCTGAGGAGTTTTCTTATACCTTTTGGCCTGTACTTTTTGGTGACTGACTGGACTTTTACTTCTTGCTCTGCCTTTCTTTGCATCGCTCTTCTTGTTGGTCTATGCAGAAATTTCTATAACAATCGGCTCACTGGTTCAATTCCTGCTGAGATTGGTAACATGACAAAACTAGTATTATTGTAAGCCCCTCCTTGCTCCCCTTCATTTTACAAGTTTGTTCGTATTTCTCTATTTCTCCTGCTTGTTTCTCCCTGTTCATATTCTAGGTGATGTTGTGCATTCTATTGAACTGGTCTAACAAATCGAAATGGCATTACTTTGACGGGGACCTCATCAGTTCTGGACCACTTGTACTGTGTGATTTGAAGGGAGTTCCTGGTCAGAATTGGAGTTCAAGTCAGGGTTCCACCGTTCCCCTGTGTGGTCGAACTTAACCACCAACGCGCGTAGTTTGGGTCGAATGGATTTCATGAACCGGTTCTTGCGCAAGCCTTGTAATAAGCTGGGCAAAACATCAAGCTACATTGTTATAACTGAGCAAGTATTGAACCCAAACGAACAGGTTTGTTTCAAACTAGGCCAAACTTTTGTACAAAATGAAACGAACCAACCGTTATACAATTGGCAGTGGTTTAAGGTTCGCATGTGAAAATCAAACATACCAGCAAGGTTACAAGACAAACCCGAACTGAACTTGCGTTTGGTTATGTGCTCATCTCTTGAAGGTTGTTCAAAGAGCAGGTCTGCGTAAAACCCCGGATTGACTCAGTGCGTGTTCATCCTGGGGCTGAGCATTAAGACAAACACCTGTTCCATTCGTCTCGAACGTGTTAGACACGAACCGAACTGGTAAAAGATTCTTGACCAAAAATGTTCGGGGCGAACATGTTCGTGCTCAGCTCGTTTCGTCGTGTCTAGCTGAGCTGCGCCGAGCCGAACACGAGTGTGTTCATGTTCAGCGGAAATGGTCCCGCGACTCATTTTGTAGGTCGACAGTTGGCCTTATACAAGGCCATCTTTTAGCTCGATATTAGCTATCTCCCTTCGAACCTTCCCACAGCCTAGGCTACAAGCACCAGCGGTACTTATACCTGTACTTAATTTGGTTCGCGCAACCACTTTCTTCTAATCTAGACTCGTTCAGGGTTGGCGCCACAGAACCAGCAGGAAACCTGAACTCCACATACGATAGAACATGCCCAAGGTGACACGAAGATTTTCGAGGTCGCTTCTTGCTCAAGCGTAGTTCAGTCAAGGATAATAACAAGAAGCTAAATTAACTAAGTGAATTTATTTAGCAAATCGAGCATATGCATTTTGGACTTGAACTATACACCATTCTTCTGTATCATCATCACACGCCTCTAGCCATGGTTCATGTCTGCTCAGCCCATCAGCCTTAAGGACCGCTCACTTACCTGGTACTCCATCCACCCTCATTCTCCTGTCCTTATGCTTTCATGTTGCTGGTTACATTGTAGCCAGTTGGAGTGAAGGTGGCTGATTTTAGGACATGGTAATGAGAAGCGCACATGCGCACACGACCACATGCAACACCATGTATCAACACCCTGTGGACCAGCCTCTCCAACCGCCAACCTAGACCTGACCCGACATGGATGGATCCTGCATTCATAACGATCTGGATTGCTTCATTGCAAGGAAACTAGTGCAGCGGGCCGGCTTGTTTGGCTAGGCCTGGCTCCGGCTGGCCAACTGAGACAACAAAAGGCCTAGTTGGACACAGGTTGAACCGCCATGGCTCAAACAATGTGCACGCATGAATTTGCTCATGCGTACTGTACAACACTCGGGTACCTTTCCGGACCTCACTCATTGGTCGTCACTTTTATTTTCTAGCTTACGTCTTTGTCTGATTTCATCGCACTCCTTGTTCCTCCGTGCAGTAGTCTCCATGACAATCAGCTCACTGGCTCCATTCCTGCTGAGATTGGTAACATGACAAAACTAGTTTTTCTGTAAGCCTGTCCCCGCTCTTCTCTCGCCGTCATTTGCCAACCATTTATACTTGTTTCATATCTGATGTGCTGTGCTTCCTTTCTGGTACTCCTGCTTGTTTCACCATCACATGATAGAGGTGGGCAGAAAACTGATCTGGGGCCCTTTTTTGCCTTGTGGTTTGAGGCGAACCCGTTCAGGGTTTGACTCAAACCTGGCCAGTTGCTTCCGAACCATGGCCCACTGCAATTGATTCGTCTCAAACGGTTGTGAGCGTATCATCGACTCGAGGTTTGCATGTGAAAGGTTTTGGGATGGCGGCCTGCCAAGGTGCAATTTCAGTTGTGAGAATGCTTAATGGAGTAGAGATGAGCATGTGGCCCGACCCGATTTGGCCGGGCCATACGGGCCCTCGGGTCGGGTCGGGTCGGGCCGACCTCGGGCCAGATTCCCGAAACAGCTGGCCCGACCCGGGCCTACTGACTCGGGTCGGGCCGGGTCGGGCCAGGAAGACCCGCCCCTTTAGGGGGAGGGTGGGGGTGCTCTTTATGACTTGTACATTTCTTCTGTTAGTACAATATTTTTATAATACATGTTATTCGTAATCTGTCCAACACTTGCTATGACATCTAAAATAGTCTAGGGGTAGCAAAACAGTAGAGACATCACGAAACAACAGTGCGATTGGGTTTCCCATAGGGTCCGCCCCAACAAGTGCAATACGTTCATGCAAACTTTAATTATGTCTGCTAGTAAAAACCCCAAGCAGCAACTGTCAATGTACGCTTCCGCACGTACAAGGAGGTCGTTATTAAACATGAAGGTACAATACTCACCACAATGACAACAACAAAAGACCCCGCAGCAACTCTCCCCGAGCAACCGGCTCTCACGACCCCAGCTGCTCTGCCTCAAGGCACAGCTGCGCAATCGTGGTCCTGCCACCACAAACCTCAAGCCTCTGTCCAGGTTGGTGATCCTGCCAAGTCTTGATCATCATGGCCGCACGCATCTGCTGTGGGCTCAGACGGTGCCGCTGCCACCAGATGATGTTAATTTTCTGACTAAAGGCTCTCTCACTCGCTGCAGACGTGGCGGGGATACCCAAATAATCGCGAGCCATGGCCCTAAGCCTGGGCAACTGCAGCTCCCTCCCGTGCCAGTACGCTAAGGCACACCCACCCTCCTGCCTCGCCTCAGCTAAATACTGGTCCACCTCGTCCTGTGCCCGCACCCTCTCCTCTGCCTCCATCTCGGCCAACTCAGCGAACAGCCTAGCCTAAAAGTCCAGCACGCCACGCGACCTGGCCCCCCTGCGCCCTGCAGCCCCGCTCCTCGCCGCGCCTTCCCTCGTCACTCCCCTAGTGCTCGTAACCTCATCCCCGAGGCGTGCCTCTGCCGCTGCACGGGCTGCTGTCTGGTAGGGTGGAAGGCGCTCGCGTACGAGTGACGCTCCAACTTGCTCAAGGTCCGGGTTGAGAGGTCCTTGAACAGCTGCGAGACGTCTGGCGAAAATTTGTTCGCCTCAAGAATATCCAGCAGCATGTTGTACTGTGGCACGACCGATCCCATGGTGGGGTACAAAGACCCCTCCACGAACAGGGTGATGCGATCAAACGGCTCCAGGAAATCCCGCAGCTCGTTGAGGGCTGTAAAGTGGGACGTCGGACAGCCTGATCTCCGGCCATGCCGTGCGTGTGATCTTCGTGATGTTTGGCTGAGAGGGGGAGAGAGGGAAGGGAAGGACAGTGATTTGGTTGGATTGGAGGTGACTTTGGGGAAGTATATAGTGATGTGATGGAGTTGGGAAGGGTTGAGTGCCTACATGGCATGGATGACATGACCATTCGATATAAACACATGCAATTTAAAGGGGTTTAAAGATGAACTGGAGGTGACTTTGGGGAAGTATATGGTGACAAGATGGGGTTGGGAAGGGTTGAGACACATGGCATGGATGGCATGACCATTCGATATAAGCACATGCAATCCAAAGGGGTTTAGAGATGAACTGGAGGTGACATTGAGGAACTACATGGTAACGGGATGAAGTTGGGAAGGGTTGAGAGCTTACATGGCATGGATGGCATGACCATTCGATTTATGCACATGCAATCCAAAGATGTGTATAGAGGAAGAGGAGGTGACATTGGGGAAGTACATGGTGACGAGATGAGGTTGTGGAAGACTTTGGAGCTTACATGGCTGCGTGGCCGAACCAATCGTGACGTGGGGTTGTACAAGCCAAAGTGTCTATCAAATGAAATGGACTTGACATGCGGACATTACATGGTGACGTGATGGAAATCTCATACTTACGAGAGATGACTCATCGAAGTACATCGTCAGAGGAATGGACAGCACACACCCCCTCATGACCATCTCTAGCGTGAAACTCCCAGCGCGTGTTCGAATCAGCGATCAGGCGCAAGACAGTAGGTCTTTTGCGCACACTGCTGCCCCCCTCTGCCTGCGTCGCCCCCCCCTCTGCAGTGCCCCCCTCTGCCTGCCTCTTCCCCCCCTCTTCCGCCCCCTCCCCTGCCTATGTCTCTGCAAGGGACGCAGCATACCGCTTCTGGATGTCAAAAAAACGCTCCAACCGCTGCACCGACCACCCGATGTAGTGAGCCAAAGCACGCAGCCTTCAGAGCGCCTCGGCCACCGGCTCGACCTTGATTGCCTACTGCACTGCGAGGTTCAGGACGTGAGCCTCGCACCTGGAGGGCAAGCATTGGCATTGATCATCCATGGTATGGGGTCAGTTGGGTACCTGACATTACTCGATATGCTCATGGACACTTGTAGCAAGAGCGGATGGCACTTACTTGAAGTGCAGAGCCAAGGACATGACGGGGGGGTCATGCGGACGTGACCCCGGTGTGTCGTCAGCGACGCCGACCAGCAGACGAACCGCCCGGTTGTTGTTCTCGACGTTGTCCGTCGTCACGCCGAAGAATTCACCACCACCCAACGCCCACTCCCCTATGACCTCCTCCAGCCCGGACGCAATCTTATCCCCCGTATGACGGCCCTCCAGCGGCCGGAAGTCGATCACGATCTGCTGCAGTTGGAAGTCTGAGGTGACTCCGTGAGCAATCACCACCATGAAGGCGACGTTGTTCTGACTGGTCCATATGTCCGTGGTGAGTGTCACCCGCCCCGCCGGACCCTCGCCTGTCAGTAGCTGTTGCAACTGAGCCTTAGCAGTCTCGGCCGCAGACAGCAGGTCCCGCACAAGGCGGAAATGGCTACCGAGATGCTATACCGCGTCGGGGTTAAACAAGGTCACGAACAGTCACGAAACTGCCGTGAGGAGGGACACAAACATGGCTGGGAGTGGAAAAAGAGAGTGGTGGTAGGATATTGAGCACATCATGTCAACATATACTCGATCGTGCGCCAGTACAAAGAGAACGCGCACAGTGCTCGCCGCTGAACTGTCAACAGAACGGAACGACATGTCAAGGCCGGCGAACAGCATGACCAGGGCCTTGCACAGCTGCCGCTCTCCAACCCGAGTCGTGACATACTAATCGATGGTACCCTGTCTCCCCCCCACAACGGCGGCTCCTCCGGTCAACCCACTCTGCCCGGCCCCCGCCTCTGCTGCCGTAACGTCAGGTCATGTGTCAGCGTGCTCCCACGGCCACTTCGTCTTATCCTGTACTGTAGGACCCCAACCCCCATCCGGGAAAACTAGCCAATCATACTTGTTTGGGTCCAGAAAGCGACGGACCCAAATCTGAAGGCTAGGATAGTGCGCCCTCTTCAAATGTCTGGCCCCCGAGCTCGTGTTGCCTAAACGCCAACTAATCACTGTGTTGCACGTAAGGCATCGCCGAAAATCGTTGTTCAACGCCCCGAACATGCCTTTCACCAAGCCAGACTCTCTACGATAGGATCCAGGTCCTTATCGGTCGGTTGCTGGTTGGCCTCCCGCATTGCATAGATAGTAGCCTTGGAGCCACCAATGCAGCGCCCTCCAGCAGTGGCCGCCAAAGCAGCAGCAGCAGCAGTAGCGCGAGGGCGTCTGGCAGCGCGAGGACGTGCAGAAGCAGGAGTAGTAGAGGGCGGACGCCTAACAGCAGCAGGAGCTGCAGCAGCAGCGGTAGGAGCAGCAGTAGCGGCAGCAGCAGGCGCACCAGCAGTTGGAGCAGGCACGGCAGTAGGTACAGCACCTCCACCCACACGTGCTCTCTTCTGTCCCACACGGCCCCTCCCACCCTCGCCACCGCTTTCACCGTCACTCGCAGCGCCAGCATCCGCATCAACTGGCACCCAAGTCGGGTGACGACGTTCTGTTGGTGACTGCTGCTCTGCAGCACGTAGGTCGTCCATGGCCTTCTGCCATCGCTCCTCCTCCGAAGCTCGCCGCGCCGCAATGCCCTCTTCATGGGCCACATGGTCAGCACCAGGGAAGAGCTGGCCCAACTGGAAACCCTCCCCACCGAAGGATGTGACACCGACGGCCGCAAGAGAAAACCCTAGAATCCGCGTGGAACTGGCTGGATGACCGTCCGTGCCGGACATGGTTCGCGCCTAAAACCGCTCCTTCACGGTTAAACCCTAGTTGGGTGCTCGCGGACTCCCCGTCACGGTGCTAGCGGGTGACGCTAAACCTATACAAAATTGTGCAGCGGGTGCCGGTAAATGCGTCTACTAAAGCGGCAATGCCACGGTAGATTTGAGCTCGATGGAAATTAGAGGATGCGCTTGAATCTGAAAACCTTAGTAAATACTAATTTGACCAGCGCGAAATGTACTAAGTACTAGGGATGAGCAGAGGCCGAAATCGAACAGGTTCGAGTTCGTCCTCAGTCGAACAGCTCGAACAGCCGAACCGAACACTGTTCGGTTCGGCGAACGATTTAGGCCGCCTCTGGTGTTCGATGTTCGGCCCAAGGGGCGAACGTTTTGTGGTAGCAGGCGAACTCGAACATGTTCGCCCCGAACATGTTCGAGTTCGCCTTTCATCATATTCACTATAATTACACCTGCCATAAAGGGTTTTTTACGGGCCAGAAAGATAAATAAAGGGTTTGCATGGTGCCCCAGGGTTCCTGCAACCGTCCCAAACCTACAAACAACATCCCATGGTGTAACAAGAGTTGTATAATGCCAAAAACCCCTATGCTAACGCCGCTCCACCCCCTCGCCAGCTGTGTCACCAGCAGCCCCCACACCCTCCCCCCTCCTCCTCCTCCTCCTCCTCCTCATCCTCCTCCTCCTCGTCGTCTTCCTCCGCCCCCTCGCCCTCAATGGCAAACTCTGGCGGTGCGACGCCTCTCTGTCGGCGGCCCTCGCCTATCCTCTGGCCGGGGTGTGAGGTGTACCAGGATCGGAGAACCATGATAGCTCGCGTTCTCTGGGAGGCCAGGCGGTGTCGCTTCCAGGAAATGACGTTGCAGCCAAGGGAGAACACCCGCTCGCTCGATGCGGAAATGGCAGGGATCGCGAGATAATCACGAGCCATGCGCCTAAGCGTCTGCACGTTGGTGGCCGTGCGCCAGTACTCCAACGCCGTCACGTCATCCCGAACCCGCTCCGACAGGTACCTGCTAACCTCGTCATCCTGTAGCATCCCGCCCCTCCCCGCCTGCTGGCTCGCTGAGAGACGCGCTGCAAGTCGACGGCGACTAGGGATATACTGCGCATCCTCGTCGTCGTCCGCTGCGTCACCCTCCTCCTCCTCCGTCACGGTGGCAAGTGGGGGCGCCCGGGGGGCTAGCGCTGCAGCCCGGGCCTGGTACTCGGCCACGCGGTCGCGTACCAGCTGGACCACCTCGCTAGAAGTGGGACGCGGCCTCACCCTCGGCTCGGTCTCGGGATGCTGCGACTCCCAGTGCGCGTCATCAAACCACGCCGCTTTTTTGGACGGGTCCAAGAAGGTGGCGATCCACAGCTCGTTGGAGGACATGTACGCATACTTCTTCAGCACCCCCGACGCCGCCTCGATCATCGGCTTCAGCGCAGCCGATGGCCCCTTCGCAAGGCGCGCCTCCAAAGCGTCGATCAGGCCGTTGTAGTACGGCACGACCATCGACACTGTAGGGTACGCTGCCCCCTCCGCTGCCTTCGAGATTCTGGCGAATGGACTGAGGAATGCCTTGACAGCATGCAGAGTCTCCCAATCTGCGTCAGTCAGGCGCAAGGTCTCGACCTTCTTCTTGTCAGTCGCCGACAAGCCCTGTAGGTTTGTGGGTTTGGACAGGCATGGTTGACAGAATGAAACTTGGGTTAGTGAGGGTGGCTTGTGATTGTAAAACGCACAACAAACATGAACACCGCCAGTGTTGTCAGTGCTGTGTCTAGGTGGTAAGACCAGCTTGCATACGTAACCCCAGCACACACACAACACCGGTCGCGCACACCCGTCACACACACCTGTGTCTGGGCAAAGAAGACATTGATTGGTTCCTGCAGAACCCCGGCTCGCTCGACCATGTCGTGGGTCGACCCCTTGCAGAACCCCGGCTCGCTCGACCTCGTGCTACAGATCCATCTCGGCCAGAAGCCATACCCCCGCCCTCGGCTCAAAAACCCTAAAACCCGGGGTGAGGCAACGGGCGGTTTCTTTGGGTAGTAGCACGGCCCTGAACGTACTGAACTTCGTGTGGCTATCTAAAATTGAGTGATTCGAACCGTACGGCTTAGACCACGTGTTGCTTGAAGAAGTTGCTACAATAAGAGACTGAAATTTCGACTACGTAGACTCCACCAATGAAACCCTAGTTATGATCTCCGGGAGAATAAGTTGGGTGACGGAGAGCTAAGGCTACAAGTTAAAGAATGCTAGGGTGGGGTGGGGGTGTGAGGTAGTAGGGCTGTCAAGGCTGGAAAACGCGATCTGAGTTTGAGCTATCGAAATGAGCCCAAACTCAGATCGGCCGCGACCTAAAATTGGTCGCGGCCAAATTTGACGCGAACACCAATGTGTTCGCGTAGCCCCCGAGTCGAACACGAACATGTTCGTGTTCGACTTGGGGGCCCCTGTTGACTGAGGCGAACATCGAACATGTTCGGCCGAACACCGAACATGTTCGGGCCGAACTATTTAAGCAAAAAAAAATGCCTGTTCGGTTCGCCTCGAACATGTTCGAGGCGAACCGAACAAGCGTTCGGAATTTTGCTCAACCCTACTAAGTACCACCAAAATCGTGTATCTAAGAATGTAAATAGAAGTGTTGAAATCGTGGGGTGATGCCTAAGGTATGTGGTAGTTTAGTGGGGGGTACTTAAGAAGACTAAGGCTAGGGGCTGCTGTTGGCGTGGCGAGGGTGGCGAATGTAAATCGGAGGGGAAGAAATCCCCTCTATCGATTTACATTCGGGCTAGGGTTTCGGCCCTAGCCCTGTCGAAATCGGGTCGCGCGCCTGGCCCGACCTGATTTCGACAAATTTCGGCCCGAAATCGGGTCGGGCCTAAACCCGGCTCGGCCCGGCTCGAAATTGGCCCCCGGGTCGGGTTAGGGGCGGTTCGGGCCGGGTCGGCCCGTACGGGGCAGGGATCCCGAAAGATTGACCCGACCCGGGCAAATCCACGGGACGGGTCGGGTCGGCCCGACCCGAGCGGGTCAACTGCTCAAGTCTATATTGGCGGGCTAGGAATGCCCGGCCTACCCCTCGGGCCAACAGCCCAACTTACATTCTGTCCTGGAGCAGTTGCGGGTTGGACCCAACCCGGGCCGTCCCCAGTCCACCTCTATGCTCAACCCTACTCGGTTCGAACGCAGGGCTCATCTGCATGTGGGTATCACAAAGTAAACATCTACGCAAACACTGGGTATAACAACTATAGGTCTCTCTCTCTCTCTCTCTCTCTCTCTCTCTCTCTCTCTCTCTCTCTCTCTCTCTCTCTCTCTCTCTCTCTCTCTCTCTCTCTCTCTTTTGTTTTCTTCTTTTTTTGATATGTTCACTCCTGATCCACTCTTCTAACCCTACTTCCCTATAAGGTAGGGCTCATGTGCACATTGATGCCGTTTTGTTAAAAAAGAAAGGTAAAAGACGGCGCAAAATACGACTGCTGCGAGATACTCTTTTTTTTTTCATTTTCTTAAAAAAGTGTATGTTGGAAATAAACCATTGTATTTCAGTAAACGAGTTAAAACAGCTGCTGTGAAAGGGGAATATTCCTAGGAATAGAACAAGGGGGCTGTTAGAAGTGCTGCTGACCTATGTTGGCAAATACGCGTTTTGCGTAGTATACGATGGAGTATATACACAATAAGTGAAGGAGCCAGGGCTGAAAATACGTGGAAAGACGCGCTTTCTGGCAGTAAAACATTTTTTCAGGCAGGATGCAAAAAAAACAGCTTTTCCAGGGGGGAGAAAGGGGGGAAGCTAATGTGAACGACTAATGCAGAAAGTCGAATGGGAAAATGAAGAGCCTCGAGTTGAGAGTTATAAGTCTGGAGGCGGGTGGAACTCGTAAAGAGGGATGGGTTGGGATTGGGAGGTTGTGTTGGGTGGTGTGTGGTATGAGAGGGTGAGTGATTGGAGTTCAAAGTTTGGAATGGTTGGCTTAGGTTGGGTGGTGTGTGGTCCTGAGCTGAGAGGGTATGATTGGAGTTCGAAATTTGAAATGGTTAGGTTAGGGAGGTTATTTACGTGGTGTGTGGTTCAAGAGGGGGACTGTTTGAAATTTCACATATCGTCAAATTTCATAGCCGCAACACCCTGATAACTAATAACGTGGTGACATATCAATTCGTCGGGACTTTTTTTTTCCAGCTTTCGTGTTTTTTTTTCCAGACGGGCTGCCCGGGCGTATTTTAGCGTTTTCGGCATGTATTTTGCATTGTATAAGCGCAAGCGTTTTTACTCGACGTGCCCCTCCTTCCACATCGTGTAATCCAACATAGCTGCTGACGCACCAGGCTGTGCGTTACTTACTGTTGCTCACAACAGCATCTTTGAAATTAAAGCACTCTATTTACAACCAAGAAAACGTCGTATTTTCCCCAAAAGGTACTGTAAAAACCATCAGAATTAACAACCGTCAATTTTGAAAATTGTTTTCTTCCACATGGGCGAACTTGGTCGGCCCAGGTCAGGCCGAACCAGCAAAGTTATCCTTTCGGTAGCTTGCTGATAGTCGAATCAGATCAGTTTGTCCCACGCCGTGACCCAATGAAAACCTATGAATCAAACAAGTACATCTAGAAAGCGATTCTAGCGTGCCATTTTAACATTGGGAGCTACATTCTTCTGTATCACCATCAGGCCTCTTGCCACGGTTGGTGGTGGTGTCCGCCCTGATGTCAGAATAGCTAGGCAAGAATGATGAACTAGCAGAAGTTTTGGGTACAAATATGAAACCCTAGTTGGGGTTGTACCCCATATTGGCTACCCCACTACAGCCTACAAGCATAATACAGTTTAACACACCCCCATAGGCAAAGTGGGGGAGAACAAAGGGTCACAAGACCAGTCCAGCAAAGCAAAGCAAAGCCCAGGGTGGATCACAACGTCACCACACTCCGAGCACAAGTAAAGGCCACAAGGCCAGTTCACATGCAGTGCTAGATAAAGTACAAGACAAGCAACACAGTGATCAAAACCTAGCAAGCAAGCAACAAGATATATATAAAGTACAGTACAAAGAATGTCAAGCAGTGAGCAAGTGAGGAAACGTGGACACAAGGCCTAAAGAAGTACAGTGCCGCTGATGATCACTAGGCGGGAGCGCCTTGGTGAAGATATCAGCAGTGTTGGCCTTCGAGTCCACGTACACAAGCCGAAGCTGACCGCGCTGCTGAAGCTCTCGAGCAAGAAAGTAGCGAAGAGCAATGTGCTTCGTCCTGTGCTCCAGTCTGTGCTCCTGACACAAGGCAAGAGCCGCCTTGTTGTCACCGTACAGAACTGGAGGAGAACTAGGCCGCTCTCCCAAGTCAGTCAGCAGGTAGGTGAGCCAGCGTAACTCCTGTGCAGCCATGGCTGTGGCGTAGATCTCAGCCTCACAACTAGAGCCGAGAACAGAGGAAGAGCGGGTGGACCGCCACGAGACAGAACCAGAGCCAAGGCTGAAGGTGTAACCCTGTGACGACCGCTGCGTAGCCAGGTCGTCCACCCAAGAAGCGTCCGAGTGACCAGTGAGGACAACTCTGTCACGTCCTCCAAGCACCAGCCCCATGCCTGATGTACTGCACAAGTAGCGCATCACCCTCTTAGCAGCCTCCCAGTGCTCTCGCATGTGTCTCCCAGGCGCAACGTAACGAGCAAGGATGCTAAGAGGGTACGCGAGGTCAGGTCGCGTGCAAGTCATCAGGTACATGAGGCAGCCTACAAGCTCTGGGTACGGGCCACTCGGCTCTACGGACTCGTCCGAAGGTGGAGCTGAGAGCGAGTGGCTGGTAGCCAGAGGTGTGGCCTGTGGTGAGGAGAACTGGAAGCCGAAGCGCTGAAGGACCTGCTGCACCATGTGTGACTGAGTCAGGGTGATGGTGCGGCGAGCTCTGTCCCGGGTGATCTGCAAGCCAAGGTAGCTACGCAGTTCACCCAGGTCAGTGCAGGTGTGTCTCTTCTGCAGCTCCGACTTCACACGAGCGAGTGCCTCAGTGTCAGCAGTAGCAAAGACCAAGTCGTCGACGTACACGAGAATGTAGAACGGCGGCAGCGACGTGTCTGTGCGCAGAAACAGCGACGGGTCAGCAGTAGACGGCGCGAACCCAAGAGCCGCAAGTGTAGTCCTCAGTGTGTCGTGCCACTCACGTGGCGCCTGGCGGAGACCGTAGACTGGCCGGCGGAGGCTCCACTGGGTACCAGGGGGAAACGACCCAGTAAAGCCAGGTGGGCGGCGCAGCCAGATCTCCTCGTGCAGGCTGCCCTGCAGGAACGCTGTGCTGAAGTCAAGAGAGTGAAGCTCGTAGTCACGCTGAGCAGCAACGTGCAGCAGAACCCGAAGAGTGGTCATCTTCGGGGTGGGGGAGAAGGTCTGGAAGAAGTCGACCCCCTGACGCTGACTGAAGCCTCTAGCAACGTAACGAGCCTTGAAGACAGGCGGAGAACCTGGCGGCCGCTTCACCCTGAAAATCCACATGCCATCGACGATGTTCGCCCCAGGAGGGGGAACCTCGTCGACGTAGGTGCCTGTGGACTTCCAGGATGCCATCTCTGCGTCCATGGCTGTCTGCCACTGAGAGGAGTAGGGACCCGAGATCGCCTCTGCGTAAGTGCGCGGAGTGGGGATGTCTAGTGCATCCGGGTCTCCCTCAGGGGCAAGCAACCAGGCCACGAGATGAGGTACAGCAGCCGCAAGAGAGTCAAAGTCCTCCTGCCTGTCCTCAAGGACGTCCGTGCCAAGAGCACACTCACCCCCGACGGACGGAGGACAGACAGACGCAGACTCTGACTCAGCGACAAGGCTAGCAGCGTAGTCTAGACGACAGGCAGCAGCAAAGTCAACCAACTCAGCGACCAGAGCAGACGCAGCCGAGGACTCAAAGGTAGGGTCAGTGACAACAGTAGCGAGGAGACGCGTGACTGTAGGGTGCTCAGCGCGATACCGGTCAGACTCAGGG